GCAACTCTGAACGAACAGACGAGTAGACGACTTGGATCTTAAATGAACGAAACGTGGTAGGTTATTTCGTTCTTTTTTTTTATCTTTATACTTTCTGGAAATGTAATTAACGTTTCCCTACTCTTTTTAGAGAACAGATGAGTGAGACGGCCTGGATCTTAAACGAACGAAACGTGGTAGGTTATTTCGTTCTTTTTTTTTTATCTTTATCCTTTCTGGAAATGTAATTAATGTTTCCCTCCTCTTTTTAGCAATCCTGGACGAACAGACAACCTGGATCTTGAAGGAAATATTGCATTTCGTTTATTTCTTAATTATGTTACTCTTTTTTTATTGTATAATTTATTTTGATTTTTGTTTAAATTGATGTATTATGGCATGTATTACATTTTTGTTTTTAGTATAACCTGAAAAATTAAATTAAATAAAATTGTTAAACACGTTTTTAATATCGCAAAATGTGAATTTTTATTTATTTATGTAAAATACTTAGAATTACTTAGATTTTACTGATTTGTAATATTAGGAATAGTTAACCAACTTATAAGACACATAATTGCGAGAATTATGTCACTTCTGAGTCTATTTCGTTCTGGAGTTATTAGATTACCACTTTCACTAAATAATCGTTCTACTGGCGCACTAGTTGCTGGTATAGACAGATAATTTCGTGCCATTTTCGCTAATGTAGGATAATTACTTTAATAACCTTTCCACCATTCTAGTACATTAATTGTTCCTGGTTCTGGAGTACTATTGAAGTAACTATTAAGCTCATCATACCCGTTATTATTAAGAAACAGTTTAGGAACTGGAAATAAAGAATCTTCACTGTCCTCATCCTCATCCAAATTATTATTTAAAGTTCCTGAAACTGGATAATAAATGGAAAGATATTCATCAAATTTACGTGTAAACCTGGATTTAAATAAAACAATAAATTAATTAAAAATTTTTCATGTAGTTTTTTTTGAAAATTTAACTTACATTTCTTTGGAATTTTTATAATACAAATTATCATCTCAATTTTCCCCATCTTCCCAGTCCTTAAAATATTTAATTTTCCAGCGAGGATCAAGGATTGTAGCAATATAATGTGTTTCTTCAGATGCTTTATTGTAATACTCATAAAGTTTATTCCATGCTGCATTTGCTGCTAAAGCTATATTATTTGAAGTTTTGTTCTTATTCATTTTTTTTTCAGCATGACCCATAAGAAGATTATACATTAGATATACTGCACTAATTGTGGGATATGTTGACGCACACATTTCAGTTGAAAGTTTAGCAAAACACTGTAAAAATGCTGCAATATTTTCCAGAGATGTCCAATCCGATTGACTTAATTTAATATTGTTTAAGTCTGAAAATTCATTAGCTAGTATAATTTTATCAAAAACCTAATTGTAAAAAAGGTGTTGTAAAATTTATATCTATTTTACTTTGTAATAAATTAAATATTATAATACCAGATACATACAACTTTTAAATCTAGAGCTCGCTTAACCATATCATATGTTGAATTACAACATGTTGAAACATCAAGAATAGGCAATAGATCATCAACTCCATTAAGTTTAGAAATTTCTGAAAACTTTTTGCGAAGTTGTGATGATGAACAGGATTTGACAATAAGATTCCAAATTTTATCAATTTCTGGTTTTAGTTCCTTTAATGCAGCTTGAACTGCAAGATTTACAACATATGCAAAACATCGACATTGCTGATTATTTACAGAAAAATCAATATCGTTATCTTTTGCCCATAATTCAAGATAGCTAAAAATGGTATCATTATTTGAAGCATTATAAGTAGTAATGCTATTAATCTACAAAAAATTAATTATTTTAGTTACAATAAAATAGATAAGTAATTTAATAGTTATTAACTATACCTTTTTCGAAATACCATATAAATTTAATACTGTAATTAACTCTTCTGCAATATTTTTTCAAGTATGAGAACCTTCTAATTCAATAAAATCAAGAGTTATTTGTTGAAGTTTCCAAGAATTATCAATAAAATGTACAGTTATTCCCATATATAATTTGACAACAGTTGAAGTCCAAATATCTAATGATAATGATAATTTTCCCAAAGTTTCCTTTAAAATTTTTTGAATAGTTATTCATATATCTATATGATATTGTATAATATCACGTCTAATTGTATCTGCAGATATAAGATGAAATCCACCAGTAACTTTTTTAAGAATCCATTTAAGCCATCCTTCAACAATTGTAAATGGAAGATCTTCAAGAATAATCCAATTTATTAACCATTTTCGTAGATTTTCTTCTGTACTAGCCTATATTAAAAAAAAATTTATATTTTAATTATTTTTACCAAATATAATATATTATCAGTTATCCACTATAAAATTAATTATCCCTGTAAAAATTTCACTATTATTATTTGCCGATAAACCATATTGTTCTAATGTACGTTGAGTAGTTGATAAACCAAGAAAAGACACATGTATTTTTTTAATATGTGTCCAAAGATTTGTTGTTGCACCTTTAACAACAACATATTTAGCATTACAATAATTGCATTTTGCAGTAATTTTATTATCTTGCCCTCTTTCTTTAGTGAAATATTTCCAAATATTAGATTTAGATTTATCAGAAGTTTCTGTATCTGTACACTATAAATTATAATAAAAAAATTTATATTTTAATTTATATAGTTTACTTTAAAATAATATAAATATAAATTTAAAAAATTACCATTTCTAACGACATATTTAAAATTAATAATGCAAGATGCTTTTACAAGTATATTTAAAGTATATAAAGTAAAAATCTTTTTCGATACAAATAATTAAAAAAAATGATGATCTTTATTTATTTACATTTATTGATGATATGTCATATGTAACTAAATTCAAATCAAACAAATCAAATCAAATATTTGAAATATTTGATAAGTCAAATCAAATCAAATAAACCTCTTATTTGAATTTGATTAAATCAAATAAACATAAATTTGAATTTGAATTTGATTTGTCAAATTCAAATCAAATATCAAATATCAAATCAAATTGCAGATCCCTATTCTTTGATATTCTTTCTGCTCAGAATAGAGATGCCAATGGTCGGTTCAGTTCGGTTTCGGTTTTAAAACCGCAGTTTTCAGCTGAAACCGAACCAACTGCAAAACCGACTGATAAAACTGAATTGCAAAACTGATCGCAAAACTATTGCAAAATTGAATGAACTAATGTCAGAAAGTGTTGATTATAACTATATTCGACAATGTTCCTTAAAGTTATAACTTTTTTTACAATAATAATGTCAATTTTGCGATTCTTTTAGTGGAATGAAAAATCACGTGATCGATGCGTAAAAGATAAATTTTCTTATTGTTTCAAAAATAAGAATGCTATATATATAAACATCAAATTCATAATTTTTAATAGTATTCTCAATAAAATCAATAAAAAGAAACATTTTTTTCTTTTGGAATATATGATTAACCGATCAGTTTTTTTTGTCAGTTTTTTTATACATAAAACCGATAGTTAACCGGTCGGTCTTGACTAAAACCGAACTGTAACCGAACTGGTAAAAACTGGTTATGATCGATTATAACCGAACTTTTGGCATTCCTAGCCGCAGTGCTCTGAAACGAGTCGAGTTGACTTACGAGTTGGTCGAGTCGAGTCGAGTCGAGTTGAAAATTATAATCAAATTGATTCGATTCGAGTAGGGATAGGGATGGTTCATTCGGTTTCATTTCGGTCCCCGTCGGTTTCACGTCAGTTCTCATTAAGAAAAATATGAGCTACATGTGTCAAATTAAAGACACAAGTCGAACATATATTGATTATAAATTAAAAAAATTTTGATTGGTTAACAATCAATAATCAATAGTTGCTTCATGATCATCATAATTTTGATGTTGATCATATTTTGAACCAGTTTTTAGAACTGGTTCGAAACCGGTTCAGTTCAATTTTTAAAAGCTATTAAAAATTGTTTTGACTTATAAATTTTCTTTTTTTTTATTTATTGTAAAAATATTAGTGTTTCTCTATTTCCAATAAGATTTTTGGCTCATATAAGTTCGAAACTCACGAGATTTTGATCAGTTCCAAAAACCGCTTAAAATTACGTAATCGAACTGACCCCATCTCTAGATTTGAGTCAAGTTAATAATTTAATAAAATCGAGTCAAGTTGAGTTAAGCCGAATTAAACATAATTCTGGCCAAATTTATGGAATTTCCTTTTTTGGAAATTATGTTACACAAAATCCGAAACGAAATTTTTTTGAAAATCACAAAAATGGAATTTTGTGGAATGGCTATCACCAAAAAAGGAAATGATCAGCATAGCCGAATAAAATCACGTGATTTAATTCGACTCGACTCGATTCGGTTTGACAGGCCAACTCGATTCGTATCGAGTCGAGTTTATATTTTTATAATTTTAACTCGACTTGACTCTACTCGATTTAACTCGAGTCAAATCGAGTTTACATATAACTCGACTCGACTCGACTCGTTCGGAGCTCTATGATCCTAGCTCAGAAGAAATCGTTTCATTACCAAGATGTCTATCACTCAAGTCGATCCAGATTCTGAAATATAAAAATCTTTTTCCGGCTCTTAAACTAATCACGAATTAATTTTTTAAATTTTTTACTGTGGAATATAATTAACCATTAGAAAAAGTAATGCATTAAGCTTTATTAAAATAAAATAATAATTATAGAATCGGTATACAGCTATTATTGATATTATATTTGTTATTGTAGATTGTACATTGATAATTGATAAAAATATCCATGTTAAGCGCAGAATTAACTTATTTTTTACACATTAAATGGGTAGAAGTCAAGTTTGATTTTCTTTTCGGAATTCTCACGCTCATTCTTCTCCATGCCTCGTTTAGCCCGACCATGCTTTTTAAAGAAGTCATCCTCACTTTTATATGGTCGATTTCTAATAATCTCTTCAGCAGTGACATCACCAACCCCGGGAAGGCATTTCACCATCCTTTGTGATTCTGAAAAGTTAGGGTTGATGTTTTTTATCAAGGCAAATGTAGCACGAGAAGAAAATACAGGACTAAAGTATTATTCAAAATTACTACGCGAAATAATAAAGCATTCGTCACATGAAACTGTTTCATAAAATGGCTGTGTTGTGAAAACAATCATTATGTGACAGTGCTTAGCAAGTTTATCGAAAAGCTCTTTTTTAGTATTAATAGAAGTAACATAATTCTTAATGACTTCTTTGTAAAGATTGTTTAAAGTGTATGTGGCCGAGTTATAGTCATATTTGGCTTGGTGAATACTAAAGAGACGATCACCTTGAACTGTTTGCAAAACTCTGAATGAATCTCTCCATTCAGCAGACGCACCATTGACAACCACAACTTCGCCTTCCTCCCAGGGAATGGACTTTGCGGTACCTTTTTCTGTTAATTTTGAACATGGAAATTGCTCTTGTGCTTGGCAGACAGAAAGTTTCTTCAGCCTAACCTCAATATTCTTGGTCGATACAGTCCCAAAGACACCATGATATAACTCCACCAGATGTACCGTACGTTTTCCACGTTCCATTAGCAAGTTGGTGCGGAATGCCTCGTATTGTGCCACAAAAAGTTCCCAATCTTGCCAATGCATAGTGTTTTGCACCCGAAATGTCTCTTCAAGACTGAATTCCACGATTTTTAATTTGTCATTGTATAAGCAGACAAAAAAGAAAGGCATCTTGATGGTAAATTCAGAGAAAGTGTCATCGCAGGGACTGAGAATGATATGTGCGTCACGTTCAAGGTTTTCGATCGTACAGTCTTTATCGCTTGGATCCAGGCATATTTTGCGTTTAACAGGAATTGCATCGATACTGTGATAAAGAAGCTCTAAAGCAAGTTTTTTATTCTTCTCGATGGTTCCGTATATGTTGTAGCGTTCTTGGAGACGGTGTTTGACATTATAAAAGATGGTATTAAAGTGCTGTTTATGAATATCGCCGAAGAATTTCTTTCTATCGGTTTCGATTTCAAAGCACACTTCAAAGACGTACTGAAGTGCGCGAGGCAATCCTCCGGTGTCTTCCAAAAGTTAGAGAAATGGTTGACAAAGCATCCATTTGTACGAACCACAGTTGAATTTTTCTGCATCGTATTTTTGTGCATAATGATTTGCAATATTAAGCATTGCTCTGAATGACAGTTGTGGGCAATCGGCAAATATAAATGAAACCCTTAATGATTCTTTGTTAGAGATAACAACTTGTGGTGCTGTTCCAGAAAGAAATGTCTGGACATAGATAAGGGATTGTGGAGCAAGCATGAACGGTGCAAGGTCATTGATCATTTCCTTAAAGAGCTGTTTTTTTGCCATTTTCCTGTTCTTGATTGCATCATCCTCCCACAGATCGATGTTCTGAAACTCGTCAATATGAAAAAAAACAAAGAGCTGTATATTGGATTGGGAGATTAGATGAGCATAAATACAATCGAAAACATTGGGTATTTTGAAAATGTCTCTGTATTTCCAGACTCGATCACGAAAATTTGTAAACGACAAAATAAATTTTTTTTCAATGAAAAACACATAGGCAATCCGAAGGCCAATGATGACTGTTGGAGTAAGGTCATCATCATATGAATCAAGTTTGCAACCATTACCGAGGTCTAAATAGATTCTTCTAATATGCAGTTTATTTTCCCACTCAGGAGGGACCCAATTCTGATTATTTTCCAGGCGTTTGAATAGTTCATCTCCATACCGAGTTTTACCTATGCACGAGATTTAGTGATAAATGAACAACTACATGTAGAATCAGCTTGAACATTATATTAAGAACATACCTATTCCAGGAGCTCCACCACTGAATAACATGTCAAAATCTGTTTTGGCTTTAGAACCTTTAAGACGGTTCTCAATATTTCTTATAATCTTTGTAATTGCTTAATTAGTGTCACGATCCATAAAAGGCATTTCATCGTTAGGTCTATCGGTACCAGTTTCCTCCTTAACCTTCTTTAAAGCAATATCAATGGCATCCTTGACTAGTGTTTAAAAGTCAATTAAAAATCTGATCACACAGGAATATTCTGCTTTAATGAAAACAACAACTTCGCGTGTTACCTGTTTTCACAGTTTCTTGTGCCGATTATAAAGTAATAGGAAAGAAATCACAAATGTGGTGCGTGTAGACAAAAAAATAATGACATCAGTCAAATCGATATTTTGTTACTGCAATTTCCTTGTTCGAGAGGTAAAAAATTGGGAGACATTTACCAGTGGTGGTGGTCAGATGTTGCACGATGATGTGAATAGCAGACTTGCTTTTCTTATCTTTAAAACTATCCTCGATGAAATATTCATTAAGATAAAGTAGAGGTTGCATCAATTCTCCTCCAAGTTTTTCTTTAATGTCATTTTCGGTAGAAAATGGGTTAAGCAACTCGATGTTCTTGATGACACTATCACGGTCAACCTTCCAAAGGTTCAGATTGTCAGGAGAATAACTAACTCCTTTTTTAGACAAGATAAGAGACTTGACATCTGAAACTGTAATGTCTTCATATTTGGTCGTGCAATTGTCAACGATAATTGTATCACTAATTTTAACTTGAATAGCTCGGGCAGGAGCATCTCCGAGAAATAGACAATTTAAGGGGAATATCATTTTGAAAATATTTTTCTGTAAAATTATAAATGATATTTTTTTTTTAAAAGAAGTTTAGAGAAATTTGAGAAAAAAAAGAAAAAAAAAAAAGGTATATATACTTCTGAATACATCGTGATTAATTATTATAAAATGATCTTTATAAACTCTTAATTGGTGACACGAAATATGATATAATGACATATAATCGATTTAAGCAAAAAAAAAGTTTATAAAATTAACTTGTCGGCAAGCGAAAAAGAGTGATTCAACTGATTCATTACGATTTTATCGTTACTCAGATTGCATTCACGAGGTATTTATTAATTCTTCGGTTGTACAACAACAATTAGTAGCCAATAAAATTAATTTTAAATTATGTCATAACGACAACTAAATTAAATCTGGTGTAATTAAGGCGTTTTCTCTGTACAACTTTTTTTTTCTTATTCCGACCCCAAGCCGTCATGCTATTTTCTCCGAGCATGAACCTATCGCAGTTTAAGAAGTGTTGACGAAAAAATTATTAAGTCCAGACGAGACACTTCACAATTAAGGTATGAATGAAATATATTTTTTTGGCTGTGACTGTGCATTTGCAAGGGAGTGATTCATAGCTTGTAAAGCTAATCTCAGAAATTTCGAGGACCTTACTAGGTGGGGAACATACTTTCGGGAGTTTTAAAAAAATTTCATTTTGCAAATCTATATAAAATGTAAATCTATATAAAATTACATTTTATAAGATTGCAAAAATACTATAATATATAAACCTTTGTGGGCCTTGTAAATTTATGTAAATCTGATATTATATATAGATAAATATCTATAAAAAAAAGAATTTCAAAAAAATATATTCTATTAATTTACAATTAAATTTATATAAAGTTTATATTTTAAAAAGTTTTTTAATTTGTTTATAATGATAAAGGGAATTGGAATTTTTAGTATTAAAACTTAATATAATTATAAAAAAATCCTAAAAAAAAAATTCTATATAATTACTTTTTCTATATAAATTTAATATAACCATGCATTTCATGTATTTTTTAGAATTTTATTATGAAAATGTTATTTATAATTTGAAAGGAATTGATGGTTTAGAAATATTTACTATTTCTCCTTATTTTTGAAAGATTTGTTAACTTTGAAACTTGTAAAATTATTAAAAATTTTTTGATAATTTATACCATTAAATAAATTATATATTACATATAGGATTTTTAAATGCAAATTAAAACTTCTAAATTTAGAAAATTTTTTACATAAAGATAAAATTTTATATCCTAGAATACTCTATTGATGTATATAACTTACAGTATATATATATATTTATTAATAGAGATAATATACAAAACATTCGTTTAAATTTACAATGAACAAATTAAGAACAATAACAAAGAATTCATTTTATTGTTAAAAGCGTTGTACATGTGTAATAAAATTAAGACTTCCCGCTCAG